TAGACTTTTGTGAATAAAATGCCAAAACAGCACTATTCATTCAATGACTTTGTTTCTGATTTTGTTCTTTTGTTTCAAAAGTGATTATGCTTTTGTTTTGTGGAAGAAAAGGCTTTATTCTTTGTTGAAAATCAGGAAATAATTTTAGCCTTATACCCAAGCTTAGAAAAGGCAAATAGGAATTGACAATTTTGGGACTTTGAAGTGCAGAGATGTACAATAATCGATTAGCACCTTTAGATAATCGATTAACAGGATTTGGTTCCAAACCGGGAATGTTCAGAGACGCTCAATAGTCGATTAACACTGAAGAACAATCGATTAATAAGGCTTGCACAAAACTGGGTATTTTCAGAGGTCACAGATAATCGATTATTGGTTTGGAGATAATCGATTGTTGGAGGTTGCTAGTTTGTGACGAGGAATCAGAGGGATAGAATAGTCGATTATCAGTTGTGTATAATCGACTATTCAGGCTTTCAGGATCAAGATTAGGAAAGAAAGAGGAGAATATTGTGGTTTTGTTTGAAAAGGCAAAAACAAGAAACAAAGGTTTTTATTTTGATGGAAAAGATTTTATTTTTGATAAAAGAAAGGAGATAAAACTTTTTTGGATATTTGGGAGAGGGTGGTTTTGCTTGAGTCATCCGGGGGTACATCACAATTCCTACCATATATACTGGACTTAGCATATACTAATAACACTCCCCTCAAGTTGGAGCATAGATATTCTATTCCGGTTCCATTTAATGCTTTGGTAAGCTGATCTGCTAATTGTTTTCCTTTCTTTACGAATCCAGTAATGGTGTATTTGGGAACTTAAATTTGGATTTCAAATCCGGATTTGATCCAAATTACTTGTTTGGGAACTCCAAGAATTTGGATTTGGATTTGGATCAAATTCTTTTAATTCAAAACTAACTCAACTACAACTTCACACCTCTCCCCATGTCATTTGCAAATTCAAGTCCAATTTTTTTTTTTTAAATTTAGAACTTGCAATTAAAGAGTGATTTCTCGTTATGTAATAACAATTCCATACATATCAACCCACTCCCGTTAGTGTCTTTACCGACTTCAAATTTCAAATTCTAGGATTGAAATTCTATGACTTCCCAAACAACATTTAGAATTTGAAATTATGGTATTTCAAATGTTGGAATTGAAATCTAAGATTTCAAATGAATTCTAGTTTCAAAACACTACCTAAAATTAATCCCTTTTGGCTTCTGTATCTTCTCAAGAACAAAGTGAAAATCTACTTCGACGTGGTTTGCCCTTTCATGGAAAACTTGTTTGGATGCAATCGGAAGAGCAGCTTGATTAAATAAAAAAAAAGCAGCTTGATTATCACACCACAATTCATTCTGGGTGTGATATATCCGTAGTGTTTCATGCACAGTCTGCACCATAGCCATACATTCTGACTCAGTGCTAGAGGGGAGACAGTATTCTGCATCTTGCTCTTCCATGAAATTGGATTCCCACCCACAAAGACACGATAGCGAGAGGTGGATCTACGATCACCTTTAGACACTGACTTTCACGTGCCCATGATTTTGATTTTTGATGAACAATTTGGCCGGCAGAGGTCCTTTGAGATAACACAATATATATACCATTATACCCTGCAATGGGTGAGAGCCTTTGAGGCACTAGGGTATTGTTGTTGTTGTTGTTGTTGTTGTATATTTTACTTCATCCATGAGATCAATTGTTGGACACGCCATATACTGACTCATAACACTAATGAGATAGGCAATGTCTGGTAGAGTCACATTTAGGTACTTCGACTTACCCACTAATCACCTGTATCTTTTTAGATCTTAAAATGGTTCCCCGCCCTTTTTCAATTGCACATTATGAACCATAGGTGCATTACAAGGTTTTGCTTCTAACTTTCTCTTCTCAGATAACAAATCAAGCTCATATTTCCCCTGAGTATTCTTTTTTTACTCTGCAACACTCTAACAACCATGCTATTTGATATCTCAAATTTATTGAATATGATCAATTAATAGGTAGAAGACAAGAAAGTAGTATATACATGAGTAGGTGATACTACAAGGAAACTAAATAACCCATAACGATGCCTAAATCGATTCTTACCATATAGACAATACTTATGTTTACTAATATATGTATTTATGTTTGGTTGGATGCTTAGAAGATTTATTCTATTTTTTTTACAAGACCTGGTTTTCAACTTTGGCACTCACCTTTGCTCTTGAATGAACATAAGGTCAACTGGAATTAACTCAACAAAGAAATATTGACAAATCTCATTTTCATCAATTAAATGTTCATTTCTTTGTCGAGCTAAACTTATAGTTTATGCTTTCATTTATTTCCCAAGATGTTTTCCTTTACATAATAAACATATGTCATTAAAAAGTTAACAGCTAAAAATGGACACATTCTATTACACAATAAGTTCACTATTTTCCTTGGGCAGAATCTTACTTCATACGTTTGACTCTTTGAGTGCCAAGATTTATTATATATTTTTCCCTTTCAAGACACATGGAATACAAATTGTTGGATTTATGTCACAGTTATCTCTGGTGTCTTCTTCTTCAAGCCAGAGCCCAGGCCCATACTCTACTCAATATGCAGGCTCATCTGTGGTCATTAATGAATCATATGAACCATACTCCTGTCCTGGATCGGTGGAAATTAGTTCGCATGCAACCACTACCAGCTATGGGATATGCCAGTCGAGCATTACAGAGAGGACAGAGGACGTATGCAGTTCTTCAGCGCTTGAAATGAGCCTAGCATTGCAGAAGCTTGAGGAGCAGTTGAGTTTGAATGATGACAGCTTGAAAGAAATTGATCAAATCTATGACATAGAGAAATCATCCGTTGAAAATTCTTTAAATGATCACAGCAGTTTCTCTAGTCCTGATGATTCAAACAGTTCCGTGTTGTGGCAGCATTCAGGTTTGTCATTTCATTGGTGCTACATAAATGTTAAAGCATGCATGCTTATACTCGTTGGTAAGAAATTAACATATTTGGAAACATCCGCTGCCTTTATTAGTTCCTGTTGCAGACATGTTTTTTAATACAGTATACTGTATTCATCTTCTCTTTTGATTTTATTATAATATCAGTTTTTTAAGAGACAAAGCTCCCTCTTAGAGTATAAAAACGCTCATGTTCCCTTGGCCACAAGCTTGAGCATGTGGTCGAGTTAGTTCCTTTTGCATGGTATTAGATCCTGGTTGACCTAGAGGTCACGAGTTGGGATCTTACCGCCATCCATTTTAAGAGGATTAACGTTTACATGCAATGTTCGAGAAAACAAGCCTCCCATCACCTGTGTAGGAGTGTAGGACTGTAGTCAAGAAATCTACTGTAACTCTCTTGTGCTTTTACCATGCGCTGTGCAGGTTACTCAAGTGAGCATAATCATCAAATCTCAGGGTATGGAATAGACTCACAGAAAGGGGATGAGATGGTGAGTTGAATACTTGAATGTAATATCATCATATCTCTTTTTCTTTCCCTAGGGAAATTTGTAGGTGAACCCGGTTCGCAGCCCACAGGCCCACCTTTGGATCAAGCCAACTGAATGATGACAGTTTTACCATAATCATTGTTTTCATTTAAAAAACTAATGACATCTTAATGATTATGGTTTATGTGTCATTACTTGGTTGGGTTGTTCCTTAAGTTGGGTATGGACAGGGTTCACCAGAGAATTTCCCCTCCCATGTACGATGTTATGTATATTTTGTGATGGTTATCCAGTCTATGTGCTATAACAATTAACAAGGCTGTGGAAAATACTTAAGTGCATTTTGTTTATAGTACATAGAAGTACAACCCTGACTTTCTTGTTGATTAATTCTAAGTTCTCCATGTTTTTCCTTTTCACTTTTTTCAATTCCATCTTCACCTGATCAGATCTACATGACTACATATTTTTCAGAGAATGCTGCTTGCAAGAGAGCCAGTAGAAACCTCAGAAAATATTTGGCTTAATTCTGATGTAAACGAGGCTCAAATCTGTTAAGTTTTCGTTTGCCCCTGAAATGCCTGCTTATTTCCATCTTCACACCTTCCAGCTCATGAGTTTCTAAAATAGATTGTTTCACATTGCAGCTTCAATTACAAGTCCCGATCAAATTGAAGATTTCAACTACCCCCTATATTTTCCTGAACTAAATGCTTACAAAACTGTTCCGGTGCAATATCCAACATTATTTGACCAGGGTCAGACTGGAATCTCTCTTGAAGCGGACATGGGCTTAACTATTGCTCAAAAGCAAAAATTTACAATTAAGGAAATATCTCCTGACTGGGGATATACTGCTGGGGCTACAAAGGTTTGTGTTTTTATTTGATACTCGGGTCCGCATGGGTTACCTTCTACATTTGAGTTTCTTTTATGCATTTTATGATAAGGACGATAATTTGACTTGTTATATTTGACCAAAATATGATAATAGAGATATATTTGTGGATGATTTTAAGCTAAATGGCCTATTAGTATTGTTGCCTCCTGGGTGAGAGAATTGCCTGGATTAGAGCTACTATTAGTTTTTTAATTTTGTGTTCCTTAATGCAGGTTGTCATCATCGGATCTTTTCTTTGTAATCCATCAGAAAGAGAATGGATGTGTATGTTTGGTGATGTTGAAGTTCCTGTTCAGATCATTCAAGAAGGCGTCATCCGTTGCCAGGCTCCTCCACACTTGCCTGGCAAAGTCAATCTTTGCATTACCACGGGTAACCAAGAATCATGCAGTGAAGTTTGGGAGTTTGAGTACCGAGTTGAGTCCACTGGAAACATCAGTAGCCTACCTGAAAACCAATGCACTTGTAAGAGTCCTGAGGAACTATTCCTGCTCATCAGATTTGGACAGATGCTTATTTCAGATGAATCGAAGCATAAACTTTGTAGTACTGATTCAGGAAATGATTTTTTGGAAAAAATCAAAGTGGGTGAGGAGCCACAGAGTCAAGTCATTGAGGCTCTCTTATTGGGTGGTTCGACATCAAATCTCACAATTGATTGGTTTCTCCAGGAACTTCTAAAAGACCAGTTGCAGCACTGGATCTATTCAAAATCAGAAGGAAAAACTAACTTGTCTGGGTGTATATTGTCTAGGAAGGAACAAGGCATCATTCACATAGTTGCTGGCTTGGGATTTGAGTGGGCATTGCACCCAATTTTAGATGCTGGAGTCGGTGTAAATTTCCGTGATATCAGTGGTTGGACTGCCTTACATTGGGCTGCACGTTTTGGGAGGTAATGGACTGTTTAGAAAAGANACCCCCCCCCCCCCCTCCCGAATCAAGTAGAAAAAGATACCAGTTAGCACAGTCCAAAAAGTACAAATAAACAAAAGATAGAGGAAAAGCTACCGCAGACAGAAGGGTCTCAAAACAAGACACTACTAAACTTAGCTAACCCTGTGGTCCCTGGTCCCTAGACACGGAGAGAAAGAATTTCAAAATTATAAAAATAGCCCTAAAAATATTAGGGCGTTTTTATGTTCCCTTAATTGTGGACGCAAATTTAAAAAATAAGGACCAAAAGAATCATTTTGCGTACAACTAGAGGACTAACTTGACACCCATATATTGGCTGATGGAGTATATATAACTCAGAGGAAAACTGTCTCTCCTTTCCAATCAGAAGGAAAAAAAGTTCTTTACTCATATATGTTTACTTGAATGTCCCCCTTTCTGCTCTCTTCCTTTTTGCTTGTTCTGCTAGAGCATGAATATGGCTTACGATTGATCTCTTTCTCAGTGTTACTGTATTTTGCTGTTATTTATTCTTATTGTTATTACCATTTTTTTTAATTCCTTGCCTGTAACAGGGAAAGAATGGTTGCTGCCCTGATCGCATCTGGTGCATCAGCTGGAGCAGTTACCGATCCCACAACTCAAGATCCATTCGGTAAAACTCCTGCTTATATTGCTGCCAATTTTGGACACAAGGGACTTGCTGGATATCTTTCAGAAATGGCACTAACCAGTCATCTCTCCTCCCTCACATTTGAAGAGAGTGAGCTGTCTAAAGGATCTACTGATTTGGAAGCAGAAAAAATCATTATTCAAGACTCCACAGAAAATCCCCCAACAAATGAGGATCAGCTTTCATTGAAGCACACGTTAGCTGCAGTCAGGAATGCTGCTCAAGCTGCAGCACGCATTCAATCTGCATTTCGGGCACATTCTTTCAGGAAGAAACACCTGAAAGAAGCTGCCTCTTTTGCGGCTGGGGATGAATATTATACTCTCTCAGATGACATTCAGTCTCTTCCAGCTGTTTCCAGCTCAGCATTCCGTTCAACACGCAATTATAACTCAGCAGCTTTAGCCATTCAAAAGAAATATCGAGGATGGAAAGGGCGGAAAGACTTTCTGACTTTCCGTCACAAAGTAGTAAAGATACAGGTGCTTAGCCTCTTCCATGATTTCTCTACCTCCCTTCTCAAAGTTCTAAACAAGTCAAGTTGGCATAATCGATTAATCATACAAAGCATCGATTTGCATCATAATAACATCAATTGAGGTTGAAGTCACTAGTAATGTCGCACATAAACCTGAAAAAAGACAACATTTTTCTTAAAAACAGGATTTGAAACTCAGAAAATGTGCTAAAATACGTGGTTGTGGGAGGGGGTGGTAAGGGTGGGTATGCATGTATATTCCTTAGATTTGCATAATTATGTCAATTGTGAATGTTAGATGTCCATTTGTTTTATGATTAAAAGTATAACCTTTTATACTATAGAGTTCTTTTGAATAGAAAATATAATGCCCAAAAGATTCTTATACTATCTTAGAGGAATCCGATCGCGAATATCGAGGTGGTCCTTGAGCTTTTTCATTTGCAATGATGTCAAAGAGCAATCAGTTTTTACATATTCTTGAGCTGAGGTCTTTTGGAAACATCTCTACCATTTTAGTTGGGGTAAAGTTTGCATACGCCCTCCCCTCCCGCTTCACTTGTGGCATCTTTCTGGGCCGTTTTTTTGTTACATAGAAAATGACCCTAAACCATTTTGCTGTAGTTTGTCGGTGTGAAACTTGTCTGAAACAGGAAAGTTTTCCCTTGCAAGAGTTTCCATTCGATCATTGGTCCCTAAAACTTTAGGACAAGTTATATTAAAGAAAAAGAATACTTACATACTCTGAATTGACTTGGCAGGCTCATGTACGAGGCTACCAGGTTAGAAAGCATTACAAGGTCTGCTGGGCTGTGGGAATTTTAGAAAAGGCAGTACTTAGGTGGCGTAGAAGGGGAAATGGACTTAGGGGATTTCAACCTGAGGCAGAATCCATTGATGAAACTGAGGATGAAGACATCCTCAAAGTTTTCCGCAAGCAGAAAGTGGATGCAACAACTAATGAGGCCGTCTCAAGGGTCATGTCAATGGTCGAATCTCCACAGGCACGCCAACAGTATTATCGCATTCTTGAAAACTATCGACAGGCTAAGGTATGGCAATGCATCCATTTTTTAAAATTTAGTGTAAGAGGGACTTTAGGTGTAGATGGGTGGGTGGCTTTGTAGGCTTTTTTTTTTATCTATATATTTGTGTGTTGTTATATACTCTTCCTTTCTTTACCCCTTACAGCTCATCTTTTAATGCTAAATTGTTCTATCCTGTTTTTTATGTTGAGTAACAACAAGTGGTTTTTCTATATTTAGTCTCCAATTATAATATATTACATAAATGGTCTTCAATTTTTAAAAACTTTTCCATAATCTGTTCTTTGTGGACTATTAGTGCAAAAATGTTTTGTCATATTTGGCTTAAAGGGCTATTTATGGAATAATTTTAAAAACTTGAGGATCAATTATGTAATATCTTATAATTGAGGTCTAAATATGGAAAGTCACTTGTATTAATTAGGGACCATTTATAGACTCTTTTATATTCTTTTGAGTTGAGGGTGTTATGGAAACTGTCTTTCTACCTCTATAGATCGGCAAGGTCTCCGTCCACCCACCCTCCGATCCTCACGGGTGGGACCTTACTGGGTAGTGAGGCGTGCACCAACGATTAAAGTCAAGTTTCATTTTTGTTTTAACTTCGTTTTGGCAGACGGAGCTTCAAAGCACGGGAATCAAAGCAACACCTCATGGAGGGATCTCCCCTATGGAAAGCAATGAATGACATATATAATAATGACTTCACCTAGTTGCAAATTACTGTCTGATATGAAAGACTGCGGTGTCCTTAGCGTGTACATAGGTATGTAAAGAGATGATTAAATTCCATCAATATGTTTCCAAATCTTGTATGGTTGGGAAGGGGTATGTTACTCCTTAGCAAGATTATTCATCAAGGAAAGTTGCGTTTTTCAAGAACATCAGCCTAACTCGCACGCTTACACTATGTTTGGTTCAAGGAAAAGAAAATGAGAAAGGAAAACATATTTCTTGTTTGGTTAGAGAGGAAAATAAAAGAAAAGTGGAAGGAAAACAAATATTTTCACTCAATCAAACAAATATTTTCATTCCATCATCCTCATCTCACACATCATCTTGTTCCCAACCCACTCAACACACACCCACCTTCCTCTCTCATCACTCTTGGACTATGGTGATGGTGGGGTGTGTGTGAGATGACCCAAAAGCATCTCTGGTTTTTCGATAAAAAGAGACCATCCCTCTTCACTCATTCGCACTCCCACACTTAGAGAAATTCCTGCAAACTTTATTCATCTTCTTCCTCTAGCTTCTTCCACCATTAATGGAGGTTTGAGAAGCTAACCCTAGGTAAATGAGTATATTCCACTCATATCGTTATTATACTCATTTTAATGCTCTCCTCACACCTTTTACCTCTGCGTTATCAAGGTTCAAAGAAAAGAACTCAAACAATGAAAGCTAGAAGTGGATAGTGACATCCATTTGTTGACCGTACGTTGAGGTATTAAAACCTTTGCGTTCCTCTACAAAGTCTAAGGTTTGTACCCCAGACTCATGTCCGACGTTAGATTCTTTAGAAAAATTTATAATTTATGATCTCATATACACATGTGTTGACGATACGTTAGTTTCACCAATAACCTCGTTAATATTCTCAATGAGATATCGTTAGATAATTAATATTGGGAAATATTCCGAGTTAGGTAGAGTTTCGCCGGAGTTATCGCAGACCGCAACTCTGCAACGTTTTATCCTGGAAGCAAGTCGGTCATGATAAACCAGTACGGTAGGCGGCCGATATTGTCTTAAGGGTAGCCTTTCCAGCTACTCGTTTCAGTCCTATATTTCACCTCTTTTTCCTATACACTAATCCTTCCTTGCATTTCGGGTAGTACCTCAAACCCAAATACTTCACGTACTACTTCACTAAATTTACCCTACAACCAACACTTTAATTATGGCCCAAGGCCAAGACGGACAGTATAAAATGGAACGGAAGAAGTATCAATATGATGGTTTTTAAACACATTTTAAAATAACGTTCAATAAAACTAGTTTATAGTTTAATACTCTGCGTAAAATATACTCCCTCCGTCCCAAATTATAATGCATGTTTACTATTTACAGGGTCAAACTTTATTCACTTTCTTTCTCTATTTTCGTTAGCAATTTGATAAAATAAAATATTGTTGTCACTACTAGTTTTGTTGATCTTTTGATGTAGTATTTTGATATCTAATTTTTATTTTTTAACTCTATACCATTTGTCATATAAAATGATTTGAAAATAACTTCAGTCAAATATCGTAAACTGAAACAGGCGTTATAAAATGGGACGGAGGGAGTAGTTTATAGTTTAATACTCTGTGTAAAATACTTTGCTGTTAAAACCATCTATCTTTATCAACTCTTTTGTATAATAATGGATATATTCCGATGCAGAGTAATTGTTGTTGAAATAGTTTAACAAAATCAATGATAATAAGAGCTACGGAGTATTAGTTATGGTAACGAATAAAAATTCTCCAAATTTGTGCTCCCAAATTCATGTTGACATTTTCTCATACATATTACTTCCTCCGTCCGGGGGGTTTTTCTGAGTTTGACTTTCAAGAGAGAAAGATGTAGAAATTTGACCAAGGCAAAACGACAACAATTGAATTGAGCTCGGAAAATGTCAAAATGGGTAGAGCGTAGAAAGTAGTTAACATATGTTTGGTTAGATTTAAGAATAGTAAGGCCAATTATGTCCATTTAAACAAAATTGAAATATTTTATGAGACAGATAAAATATTGTGCCTAAAATAAGCCACACCCTTCTATTTTTTTTTGAGTTGAAACATCAAAATTAAAAATTAGCAAAAATTAGAAGAAAGTTAAGACTTAAAAATTGAAAAAAAAACTCAAGTTGGAAAATGTTACTCCCTCCGTCCCAAATTATAATGTTTGTTTACTATTTACAGGGTCAAACTTTATTCACTTTCTTTCTCTATTTTCGTTAGCAATTTGATAAAATAAAATATTGTTGTCACTGCTAGTTTTGTAGATCTTTTGATGTAATTTTTTAATATGTAATTTTTATTTTTTAATTCAATACCATTTGTCATATAAAATGGTTTAAAAATAATTTCTGTCAAACATCGTAAACCGAAACAAGCGTTATAAAATGGGACGGAGGTAGTAAAAAAATGCAAGTATTATAAAATCACTCAATTAATTAATCATCCAAATAAACATGCAAGAAAACTTTAACTTTGGAAAAAAAGTTCATCAACAACAACTCAGTTAAATCCCACAAGAATAGGGTTTGGGAAGTGTGTGTACGCAGACCTTACCCCTACTCGAAAGTAGAGGTGGCAATCGGATCAACCGGATCGGTTCCGGATTGAACTTTTTCGGTTCAGATATCTTTCGGTTATATGTTATAATCGGTTCGGTTCGGTTCGGATCGGTTAAATTTTGGTTCGGATTTGATTTCGGTTCTATACATTTTTCGGTTCGGTTCGGTTTCGAGTCGGTTCAGATACGGTTCGGTTATGAATCGGTTCGGATAGATTTTGATTCCGATACAATTTGAGTCGGATATATTTCGGTTTTGGGTCTAGTCTGGTTCGGATATATTTCGGTTTCGGATATATTCGATCGAGTGGACTACAAATTATGAAAAAATATATTTTATGATGATATAAATTTAATATCATAATATTAATTTTAAAATTTAGTTTTGATATATTAAAATTTTATCACTTCAAATAATATTATGAGTAATTTACCTAAATAGGGCTAAAACACAATGATTTTCCCAATATAGGACCATATGTTTTTATTTCCCAATGTAGGACTTTTGGTCATTATTAATTAGTCATTATTCAAGTAAATGTCCATTATTAATTTATTACTGGGCATTATTCCTCCCACTAAGACATTATTAAGTTTTCTTTAAGAAATAAAAAAGTTTAAGTCATAGATTAAGAAAGTAATTATGTTTTAGTATTATTTAGTACAAATTTATTAATATCATTAGTTTTATCTTTATAAATAAAAAGATAAAAGATAAATTCAAATCGTATTAGGATTGTGTTACCAATGATCTTTTTCCAGCAGCTACTATAGATGTTCCCAGTGACCATTTATCAAAGGCTACCAGCAATTCTACCATCTATGGACGTTTGCATTATATTTCCACTTTTGGATCATGACTATTGAGTACTATATTTTTTAATTATCACTAGATGACTACTTTTTGGTGTTTAGCAAGATTCTCATCTCTATTTTATTACTGATTTGCTTTATTTTATCGCATGTATGCTTAGATTTGGAAAAAGTAATTTTCATGTGTTTTATGCCATCTCTATTTTATTGCTCATTTGCTCTATTTTTTGTAATATTTCTAAAACATGTAATCCATTTTATGAGGGAATGAGCAAGTAATATAATTAGTTCAAATGGTAAAATAAAAATAAAATTTTAAAAGCATAATATGCTTATTGAAAGGAAAACATACTTCCAAAATTATCTATGTAGGTTCTAATCGGTTTCGGATATAATCAGTTTCGGATCTAATCGGTTTCGGGTTTTATCAGTTTCGGGTATTATCGGTTTCAGATCTAATCAGTTTCGGGTTTAATCGATTCGGATATTATCAGTTTCAGATCTAATCGGTTTCGGATTTAAATCGGATATGAATTATTTAGTTCGGTTTCGGTTCGATTCGGATCATTTCAGGTTTTCGGTTATAGATCGGATCTTCATTTTTCGGGTCATTTCGGTTTCGGTTTCAGATATTTCGGTTCGGGTAATCGGTTACGGTTCTGTTTTGCCAGCTCTACTCGAAAGTAGAGAGGCTGTTTCCAAAAATTCAGTGTAATATTTTGCAAATCAGAGAAAATATTAAACCCATAAAAAAGTACTCCTAAAGTGTAAATGTTAAAAGCAAAGATCCAAAGAAAAGTACTAAAATCCAGAAGGCTGCCTGGTCCCAAGCTCATGTGACCCTCTTTGTAAATTGAGAAGTAGCTGCCTCCCTTTTACTGATCTTATAATAACTTAAATAAACCTGAAATCTAAGATCCCTTTTACTGATCTTATAATAACTTAATAAACCTGAAATCTAAGAGCCCTTGTCAGCTTTAGCGGCTGCAACAGCAGCTTGACCACGAACACGACCAGTCCTCTTGGCGGCAACAAGCCCAACTTTCTGCCCAGGTGGGGCATCACGGCGAACAGTGCTGGCATGACCAATGTGCTGGTGGTTACCACCACCGTGGGGATGCTCAACTGGGTTCATGGCCACACCACGAACCACAGGCCAGCAGTTCCTCTTCACCCGGTACTTGTGGTATGCGTTGCCTGCTTTGAGAAGCGGCTTCTCGGTACGCCCACCTCCTGCTACCTGACCAATCATGGCCCTGCAACTGCTCGGCACAATCTTCTTTGCTCCGGATGGAAGCTTAACCCTGTTTTTATAATGTCATATGATTACTTAACAAAAATAATGTGTCGTGTAATGAAACAACAAGGGCTAAAGGGCCTTGGGGTCAAGCGACAATAATGTGTCATTTGAGTTAGCCGTGTACTTTTTGAAAATGAGCGAGGAGTCTTAACCAAAATGGGAAAAGTTTGGTAAAGGGCTTAAGGCTAATGCCAAAAATTACAATAAAGCTCCACCCACAATTTTGCAAACGGCAAAAGCCAAAAGTTGGGGTGAAAAGCCATGGCAAACTCGCCCCATTGTAGTGTGTGCTTTTTATATGACTGTCTTATATGAATGACAGTAGTACTTTTGGGAGTTGTACTAATAACCATGTGGATCCTCTTGGTTCAGGAGGTTTTGCAAGTGACAAGAATGCAATTAGAGAGAGAATTGTCCTTAGAAGACATAAACAGGATGACAGATCTACCAGCCTACTACCTTTTGTGATTCTCTCTCCCGCCTAGGAAAACGTGATATTAGTGGCTTCGAATACATAGACGACAACGACAACAACGACACAAACAAATTACAGTATAGTTGGAGTAATATGGTTGGGATCAGTGATCAAGATTTACATAAGTTTACCCTGTAAAAAACGAAACTTTTGTACAATTACTCAATAGATGGGTTGATGCACTTTTACTGATAGAAAGTAAAAAGGGGAGATAATTTTAATGTGTCATATTGATTTAGCGAGATAAATTTAATGCCTCATATTGATTAAGCTCATTCTTTACCACAAGATAAACATTTGCATAAATTGGCTCTTGTAACACCATTGACTATGGATGAATGCTGGGATACATCAAACGGTAAAGAACGGTAGAGGTCGAATTGACCTAAAGCCATTTTGATTAGTGAAATTTCCTTTTCCTCACGAAAGAAAGTTGGTGTTTTTTTTAAATTTTATTCTCTCTTAATTTTTTTCCTTTCACTTTTCCACTCTAATCAAAGAAAAAAAAGTTATTTTTGTACTCAAGATCATGTTCTTTTCTTT